CAATACAATAACCATAACCATCTCTAGCATCTTCATAGATTCTTTGATGACATTTAATTCCATATTCGGCTCATTTTTGACATGCCTCATTCCATATCTTTTGTGTTGACAGAACATTAGTACAACAGATATGGCTTTCTTTGTTGGTACAACAAATATGCCTCATTCCATATCATAATTAAAATACAATATTTCTTTGTTGGCTTTCTTTGATTTGACCATCTTAGTCACAATCTTTTTACGACAACAACATTGGTCATAAGCAAATCTTATATCAACATTTTCATCTTATACATCTTTGCCTCCACCAAAGCTGGAAGAAGAAGAAATTTAAGCCCTAGCTTCAGCAATGTCACAAATCTGGAAATATTATAAACAATTTTTTTTTAAAAAAAAAATTATCCAAAAATTATCAGTGGATTGAGACAAAAAATAAATGAAAAACACTATGAAATCATACATAAATGAGACTGAGGTTTTACCAGGCAGAGGCCTTCGTTGTTTCTTCTACAAATAGTCACAATATTGTGATTGGTGTAGTAGTTATAAGCTTTGTGAAAGTAAAGGGTATCTTCGGCATTTTGAAAGAATATTAAGTCAACATTTTCACTTTTCAGGTTGTCAAAGACGACTATTAACGAGAGGGGGTGTAAGTGATTCAACAACATAATCTAAAAGAGGGTGTAGTAAAATTTCTTAAGATGTAAAGGTGTCATTGAATATATGGATAACTATAGAGGGTATGGATGAAGTTTACCTTTTTTGTTTTTTGGGGACTAGAGAAAATGTTGGGGGATTATACTAATGGAAAGGTAGCTATATGGCCAGAGACGACTAGAGACCAAGGGTGGTCGATGGGACTAGGGAGTGAAAAAAGAATTGAAAATAAGTAAAAGGAAACTTCAGAAAAGATATAAGAAAACTTTAAATTATGAGAGCAAGATGATCCATTCATTTGTTCTTTTTAATGTCACAAACTATGACACAGGGTCGATTGAAATTCTTGAATTAATAATGGAGCGAGTATATTTATGTTTATCTAATTCTATTTATTTTTTTTTTTGGTCTTTTGAGTAGTAATTTTATATAATTTTGCAATTTTATGCCCATTATTTGGGGATATTTATTGCAAACTTTTTATTAAATTTGTAAGTCAGCACATGTTGACCAATAAAGAAAAATCACCATCTTGTGAACTTATAATATTAGAATTTCTTAATGTAAAGATCTTCTCACTCGATCATACATAAAGAATTGCATGCACAACTTAAGAGGGGTGAATAAGTTAATTAAAAATTATCAATTGGACAACCACCAATTTAAAACCTAAAAGACAACAATTACCAAATTAAAAGATTAATGGTGAATTAAAACCCCTTTTATCCACAACAAGAACAAACTCTTATGAATAAATGTATCATATGTGTATGCAATCAACAATCCAAACAATTCAATCAATCAATCCTCTGATCCTTCCATAAATTCAATTTTCATACAACTTGTTGTGTATTGTGTATGCGATGAACAATTAATGAAACAAAATAATAGAAGAAGAACATAAGAATTTGTGTGGTTCGTCAATTTGCCTATGTCCACAATCCTAGAGCGGTTGTCTTGTTTTTATTCTACACTGAATTAGGGTTACAACTTAACTTATATATGTTACAACCCTAATTAGGGCATTTTGAAGGCATGTGTTATTCCATACTGCGGGGGTCTACACTCTCCGCACCCCCTGACCTATCTTCAACCTGGTAGTAATTCGAATCCACTAGATGGCCAATTGTCTTCACTCACGCTTCGACAATTGGCCAATTATCCTCTTGGGCCTAGTGTAACTCTCCATACTCTCAATATGAGCCACCTATTTCAACAATATCCATCTTGATGAATATTCACCCCTCAAGAGATAGTATATCACCGAACAACTCCACCTGAAAAAATTGATAGGTCGAGAATGCACTCTCACTAGCAACTGGAGACATTTATCAAGTCCAAGCAATGCTTGAACTTATTGGCAGTAATAGGCTTGGTAAGCATATATTGCTGCATTGTTAGACGTGTGAACCTTCTCAAGTATCACCTCTCCAGTAGCAAACAACTCCTTGGTCTTGTGAAACCTCACATCAATATGCTTGGTTTTGGAATGATACACCTCGTTCTTTGCCAAGTAAGTAGCATTCTGATTGTCACAATGTAACATGATTCATTTATCCCTTTTAACTGTAGTGCTTCTTTGGCAATTTCAGTAACTGTCATATATTCTGCCTTAGTTGTGGGTGTTTGGAACGAAAGTCCCAAACATCATTGTCATGTATGTATCAAATACCAAAATATTTTCTTTTAAAACCCTGCAAAGCAGAACTAGGGTTTACCTTCAAGATTGCTCTAGATTGGTCTCGTCTCAGTTTGAATGCAGAATATAAAAATAGACGCAGAAGATAGCTCGATGAACCTCATGATCTTCTGTTGTATATCCCCCAATGTCAAAATCTGGATGCAGTGTGGGCTGCAAGGAACTCTGAACTTCTACTCTCTCTCTCTCAGCCTCTCTTTGAGTAATCAAAGTGATGTTGATTTAGAGAGTCTAGACGTTTATATATAGGCTACAACAAAAATCCTAAGAAAAAATAAGGGTTGGGCTTCCAATAGGCATATGATTCCTATGTTCAACCCAGAACAAATATCTTATAGTCCATTAATAATAAGTTAGTCCACCAAAAAACTTATTATTGATCTTCTAAGCCTTATCTCAAAATTATATTTTGAGCTCCTTATTATTATATGTTTAATAATCTCCAGACGGTTAAGATTACATATATCCATCAATTAAATAAATTATTGATAATTATATTTCATTAAATTATATTTTTCCTTGAAACCTTGCCACTCAACTTATTTGTCATGTCGGTTAATTAAATCTACTGTAGGGTTTGACATGGACAAAACTTATGAGCTTCCTCAAAAGGACATCATCAACCCATTTAAATACTAAGACATGATTTTCTTTAATAATTAATTTTCACCATACAAATAATATCGTCTCCTAATTCACCGAGCTTATTGATTCAATATGAATCTCATTATTTGATGAATTAAAGTGACAATCATTATATGCACGTGACATTTAAATATTTCAAGATTAAGAGCATAAACAATCATAATAATCATGAGGTATTTATTATCTTATTCAATCAGTAAAAGATAATAATCTCAACATAGGTCTGTTCAATACACAAAGTGTATTAGTACAATAATCTAAGACATCAAATAGTCTCATATAGTCAAAGATAGACTATGCCAGAATATTATACTATAATCATACTAATAGTTTGTCCAATTTCTTCTAAGATTGTGAATTTATATTCATATTATATAAGGATCTGACAATCTAGTCTTCTATGCAAAAGCCGAACTCTACACACAAGATTATCTTCAATGTAAAATATAAGACACACATGCATACTATATATAAAATATAATGCAAATATTTTGCCCACATAGATTCTCAATAAAATGGAAAAATCAAACTTTTATTAATTAATAAAACGAGTTTCACTACAAAAAATAAACTTCTAGTATACAACCCTATCACAATGTAACATGATTCTTTCTTACTTCATTCCAAGCTCCTTGACTAGCCCTTTCAACCATAGCGCTTCTTTGCCAGCTTCAATTACTGTCAAATACTCTGTCTTAGTTGTTGGCAGCGCTACACTTGATTGAATTGTGGATCTCCAACTTATAGATCCGTCTGTTAGTGTGGAAACATAGCCTATGTGGGACTTTCTGTCATCAAGGTCACCTGTATAATCTGCATCCACATATCCCTCAACTGAAACAACATCATGTCGCTTCTCAAACATGATACCATAATCAACTGTACCCCTCAAGTACTTGAAAATCCACTTTTCAACCTTCCAATGCTTTCTTCCAGGATTTGTCATGTACTTGCTCACTATGTCCACTGCATGACCCAAATCTAATATGGTACACACCATATAATACATCAAACACCCTACTGCACTTGCACAGGGCACTTTTGACATTTCAACAATTTCTTCATCTGTCTTTGGGCACTAATTGGTAGACAATCTGAAATGATTCGTCAATGGTGTGCTCACTGGTTTTGCATCATCCATGCTAAACATGTTTGACACCTTTTTCACATGAGACAACAATAACTTCCTAGATTCTCTATCCCGACGAATCTCCATGCCAAGAATCTTCTTAGCAGCTCCCAAGTCTTTCATGTCGAACTTCTTGCTCAACAAAGACTTTAACCTGTCTACCTCAACCATGCTCTTAGCAACAATCAACATTTCATCCACATACAACATCAAGAAAATATATGAAACATCATCAAGAACTTTGAAGTAAGTACAAAAATCATACTCACATCGACTGTAGCTAATCTGAAACATGTAGGAATTGAACTTCTTATACCATTGCCTCGAAGGTTGTTTGAGCCCATATAATGACTTCTTCAACCTACAAATAAGGTGAATTGATCCTGGTTCCTTTAACCTTTTAGGTTGGTCCATGTAAATTTGCTCCTCCAAATCACAGTGCAGGGAAATAGTCTTCACATCCAACTTCTCTAACTCCAAATCTAAACAAGCTACCAATGCCAAATCACCCTGATAGAAGTGTGTCTGACCACTGGAGAGAAAATTTTGTCACAATCCACTCATTTCTTATGTGAGTAACCATTTGCTACTAGTCGAGCTTTGTACCCGTTCCCTTCCTTTTCTGAAATTGCTTTTTTCTTTTTGTATACCCACTTGCAACCTATCAGTCTCATCCTATCTAGGAGTTCCACCAAATCCCAAGTGTCATTCTTATGCAATTACTCAACTTCTTCCACCGTGACCTCCATCCATCTACCTTTCTCCTGGCTATTTAATGCCTCTTGAAAAATAGTAAGATCACCACTACTGGTAATAAGTGCATAAGAAACTAAGTCTTCAAAACCATACCTGATAGATGGTCTATTGCACCGGGATCTCAGTGTAACAGGACTCCGATGCTCTTGAACTAGAACTATCTGACCTTTGATTGGGGTTGTTACTATCAGAACTGTCTAACTCTGACGCTCCTTTGCTATTATATGTTTCACCTTTCTCATCCTCTTGAAATCCTTTAAGCATGAATATTTCATCAAACATTGCATCTATGTTGATCACCGACTTCTTGGACTCCCAAAACTTGTACCCTTTTCACACCTCTCTGGTAGCCATGAAATATACACTTCCTAGACTTTAGATCAAATTTTGACCTCTCTTTACCTGATACATGCACATAAGCAAGACAACCGAATATTCTTAACCCAGAATAATCAACTTCATTATCTTTCCAAACTTCCTCTACAACTTTCCCATCTAGTACTGCCCTTGGTGACCAGTTGATGACATATCAAGTCATACTTATTGCTTCTACTCAAAAACTCTTAGGAAACCCTTCATTCAGTCTCATACATCTCGCTCTTTATACAATAGTTCTGTTTCTCTTTATGAGACACCATTCTACTGTGGTGTCTTCTGGACTAAGAAATGTCGTTGAATACCTTGTTCCTCACAATATTTCAAAAACTCTAAATCTGTGTACTCTATACCATTATCTGACCTAAGATATTTAATCTTTCTTCCCACTTGATTCCCAACTTCAGCTTTCCATAACTTGAACTTGGTAAAAGTTTTAGATGTATGCTTCATGAAGTATACCCAAATTTTTTGAGAGAAGTCGTCTATGAAACTGACGAAGTACTGAGATCCACCATTTGACCGTTCCCTGACTGGCTCCCAAACATCAGAATGCACATAATATCTTTTGTCTTGTTCTGAACTGCCTTGAATTGCACCCTGCACTATTTCCCAAGGACACAATACTTGCAGAAATTCTACTCGCATGATTTTACACCCTTCAAAAAATTCCTCTCGTGAATCTCCATCATGCCTTGCTCACCTATATGCCCCAAACGTATATGCCATAGGAGTGCATCATCTATTTCAAACCTTGTTACAGCAAATCCACCTACTTCTATCCCATCTAATAGCCTGTAGATGTTGTTGGTGATTTTCTGACCCTTCATCACTACTATAACCCCCTTCGTGACCCTCATGACTCTACCTTTTGACCTATAACTATGACCATTTGAGTCTAGAGTACCTATGAAGACTAGGTTTTTCGTCAATTTTAGTGCATGTGTAACATCACGTAAATTTCTCATAATACCATCAAACATTTTAATCCTAACAGTACTTATCCTAGTGACCTTGCATGACGCATCATTATCTATCAAAATAGATCCAGAATTAATCGATCGATAAGTGTAAAATCAGTCCTTGTGAGGACACGTATGATATGAACAAGTATAATCTAGTACCTATAAATCAACTAAACGGTCAGAAATACCTGATGAAACAGATAACATATCACTATCATCATAATTTGAACTACTTTCTACAACACTTGGAACTCGTTTCATTCTTCTTATCATCTCCCTGTTTCAACTTGGGATGCTCCTTCTTGTAAATTGTAATGTCTCATCTGATGACACTTGAAGCACTTGATGTTTTTCTTATTATTTCCCTTGGACTTTGACCTCGAATTCTTTTTGTTTGAACTCCTCTCCTTCTTCCTGCCACAATTTTGGTTACCCTTCACTATTAGCCCTTCGCCTTGAGAACCATCATTGTTACTAAATCTCCACTAGTTATAACCCAACAAGGCTACTGTGACTTCCTCTAATTCTAGGGTTTCTTTACCCCATAATAGAATAGTTACCATATGTTCATATGAAAGGAGAGACACTAATAGCATCAGTGCCATACTTCATCTTCAAACTCCACATCAATCCTTAATAAATCGCTGATAATTTGATTAAAAGTATTGATATGTTGAACCAAATCTTTACCTTCCATCATCTTTAGCCCATATAGCTTTTGTTTTAGGAATAATTTGTTCATTAGGGATTTTAACATATATCGGTTCTCCAATTTCAACCATAGAGCCGCTGGAGAAGTTTCAACCATGACGTGGTACATAACCTCATATGCCAGACAAAGTTGAATCGTTCCAACTGCTCGAGCGTCGATTTAATCCCAGTTAAAATTGGACATACCCACTGGTTTCTTCTTGGTTAATGCCTTCACCATCTCTTACTGTGCTAACAGGTCCTTCACCCTTCGTTGCCATAATCCAAAATTTTTAGAACTGCCAAATTTCATCACATCGAATTTTACAACTGAAGAATTCACCGCCATCATTAAACAAGGCTCTGATACCAATTCTTGTGTTTTATATGTGCGATGAACAATCAATGAAACAGAATAATAGAAAAAGAACACAAGAATTTACGTGGTTTGACAATTTTCCTACATCCACAATTCTAGAGTGGCTGCCTTATTTTTATTCCACACTGAATTAGGATTACAACTTAACTTATATATTTTACAACCCTCATTCACTTACGCTCCGACACTGACCCATTATTCTTTTGAGTCTGGTGTAACTCTCCATACTTTGAATATGAGTCACCTATCCCAACACAACTCAATTTAATAAAAATTGAATGAAGCAATTAAAATGGCAATTCCTCAAGCACAGTGTGTGTGTGTGTGGGAAAAATCAATGGAAGAATAAGAACATCAACAACACAAATAATCTTACGTGAAACCCTTTCGAGAAAAATCGTGGAATTGACACCTGGTTTACTTAGCCTAATCCACCACTCTCAAATCAATTTTCAAGTACTCAAGTCTTATACCTCAACGAGTTCACACATGGCTAGATGTTCATTTCCTTGTTAAATATCTCTTCCGGATATGATCCACTGAAAGCTTGAGTAGTTTAACTTGGACACACTCACTGCGAAGAACCATCTAGACCTCAAGCAATCTTCAAAGATTATCATTATACACACAACCAATGTGAGCTTCGTAGAACATCAATCAATATCTTTTTCTTCAATATGTGAAGTTGAATTGGAAGAATCAATATGGTTTAACATTTAGACCTTAGGGATCTACAATTATTTTTAGCTCTCTAAAGGTTTAGGAGGCTAATTTTTGGCTCATAAAAGAGATATAGAGAGGGGCACTACTCCTCCGTTGTTGAAGACTAATAGCACATGGTGGTGTTTAATGCAATGACACTATTTTTTGAATGGACCCACAAAAAGCTCATTCACTCCTCCTGAATGAAACACACTTAACATATCTCAGGCTTCTTGAGAACAACACATGTGAGTGTATATGGTAAAGGGTTAGGGTGGGCACGAGTCTATCCTCAATTATATATATATGATCAAATATATTTTTTAGTGTCCACACTTTTACTTCTATATTATGAGAATATGAGTTGTGATTTAATAGAGAAATTATTTGAAATTTGTCTTACACATAGCCTTTTTTTTAACCACTTTTCGTCTTTATTTATCAATGTTGTGCTATTTTTATTTATTTTTTCTCAATTTACACATTGTTGTTAAATAAAATAAAAACGAATATCGTGAGAATTCGATTGCATAACATAAATGAATAATTGATAACTTGATTACATATAGAGAAATATATATCATTGATTTTAAAATTTCTTGTGTTCAATAAATTTTAATATATCAAGTTTGATGTAATAGATATAATAAAATTATTTTACTTTTATCGATTAGAATAAAAAAATTAAACATTGTCGTTAAAATACCCACTAATTTTTTTTTGTTTTTCCTTGACAACACTGAACAACACCATTCATAATTCAGGAGCCCTAAAACCATTCAAGAACAGTGGAGAGAAACAATAGGGCTTTTTGCATAAAAAATGGAAACAATAGACTTTTTTGGCATTTTGCTAGTGAAGGACTCGAATGATGCCGTGCAAAAGGGGGGTTAGGACTCTTTTGTGGATCCAAGCCAAAAACGGTGTCGTTGAATAAAATAGCACCGTGTGCTATTAGTCTTCAACAGAGATGTCGTGCCCTGTAGAGAGATACCCTAACTTGGAATGACTTATCTGATAGACTTTATTAAAGAATTTAATCTTCTTATTTTGCGTAGTGGAATTGAATACTTACCTCCTACTATTGATGTTCAAGTTTGAGAACAAAAAATTCGAATTCTTTATAGAGAGAATAATCAATGACCACAATAACCTTAACAAGCACAAATCCGTACCATAGTCTTTACCTCAACACTCAAGAATAACACTCAAAAACTACCTCACAAATATGTAGTATGTGGAGGTATATGAGACAAGAGTTTTCACCCTACGTTTATGATATCTAAATACCCATATGACTTGATGAAAAATCATAAACATGAAAATATATATAGGCTAGAGACCCTTATCCTAGAGAAACTACAAGTAACGTCCTTCCATCTAAGAGTTACAACTGCTCTATGATCGTCACTCCATCTGATGATGGGTGTAGTGGGCAGTTACTTTAACGTCAGTTACCCAGACGAATTTAACTCAGTAAATAGGATATATATATAGAATATACATAATATTTATTAATTAAACCATGACATGGCCTGTGGGCCATCTTAAATCTCTAATTAGAGATAGAATCCAATATTAATTAGACATAAAGTCCAACATTCTCCCACTTAGCACACATGACACATCAGACAATTTGGGTGACCAGTATTTAATACTGAATATGGCCATACAAAATAATTACCCAAATTTTATTGAGAAAAATAATGCACGAATGAAAATGGTTGTGCTCTTTTAAATGAACACTCCTTCCATGTATTATAATGCATCATCTTCTCAGAACTTTATTTGACATCACTCCTTATGAATGACTTCCTACAAGTCATTCCGGGTCCTATAGTCCCAATGGACTACATACTAATCTCAATGGAAATTATATCACAAACAAATACATTATGTGCAGAAAATAACTAAAGTTTGCATTGATCATAATCAAATATTTACAAACCAAGAAGTCAACCATAAAATGAGCCAACTAATCCCATGTTCTCTACATATTTCAAATACATCTTAATTGAGATCCCTTTAGTCATGAGATCTGCTAACATCAGATTTGTACTAATATGCTCAATAGATACTTCTTGTTCCTTAACTCTTTCTCTGACAATAAGATACTTAATGTTAATATGCTTGGTTCGGCTTCCACTTTTGTTATTCTTAGAATAGAACATAGCAACCAAATTATCACAGTAAAGTCTTAA